GACTACATGTTACATCTTGCTGGTGTTGCCTTTACGCGTTCCCTAATTATAACTTCTCTGGAGATTTGACAGGGTCTCTGAGATGTATCTTGTTGGTCTGCCGACCATATTTAAAAATACAATTGCATGGTGTGGCTAAGTTTTATTTAGGGATCGACCGAACAGCAAAACCGTCTAATATTGCAGGATTAACGAATATCTTCCGTATAGTGCCTGACTTCAAGATGCGAGCCTTCTTTTTTCAAAAGGTTACAATCGGAGCCGTCTTAACAGCATTATGGGCCCCTGGGCAGACCAGTGTGCCGTGGCCCTAGGATTACCACTTACAAGAAATAAAATGTAAATTGTCGACAAATACTCACATTAGCATGGACTCCTATGATCATGGGGGCGGAGGGGGCGGGGAGGAGTGGGCAATGCCTAGCGAGCCCACGTGTTAAGACGGCTCTGGTTTTTCTTCTGAAAGTCCATGCCGATTGGCGTTAGTAGTCATGTCTGTCCACAACCTTCTGCCTTGTGTTCATTCAATCAACTATGACACAAATGATCTTCCATGCCATGATGTAAAACTGTCCAGCATCTGATCTCTGGGACTTTGGTTACAAGGCGAAGAAATTGTGTACAATGCCGAGCGGAAGTGAACATAATGTTTAAAAACAAAAAGGTAACCCATAGTTATCAGATGGCGCGTGTTTATGCCTATCCTTAATCTCATTGGTCTCGAGGCATGGTGTCCACCTCGAGTGCTAAGGGTTCCGAATTTTTTCCTGTGGACTTGGACTTCTAGTAATTCCACCTGGGTAGTGAGGTCAGACGCCCGTGTGCATTGTTGTGCATGAAAAAAAAATCCTTGGCAGTTGGAAATCGAAAAGAGTAGCCTAACAGCGCTGCCCGGGCAAAATCTACCCAAAGTATTTCAGGATCCTCGCTGGTGCTACAGAACCTGTGCACTGTGCTGAGTTTCTTTAGACATGAGTTAGAAGAAGAACTGAGCACTTAGGGGTTACTACCATTGTGCCATGATGTTGATCCGTTGTTCAAACTTCAAACTTCTTCTTATTGTATATTATGCAATCGTTTCGATAAAAATGCGTTAAAATCGCTTTGACAACACTGACCTCGCTCATCAACGTTTATCAAAAGCTGTCCCTTCAACATCGTGGCCTCCTTAGTCTATGTGTCTCCTATTCCAGTGCACA